GTCAAGTCTTTCCTGGGAGAATTTGCCGCCGTTCTTCTTTAGTCCTAGGTTGGCAAATACACGGAACCATAGCCAATTAGTGTTGGGCATACTGCAAGATGATTAGCTAGTGAATAATCGGTACAGTGTTGAGAGCTGACTTCTTCTCGTTGATTGAATTTCCTAGCCATGTCTCGACATTACTCTTCTCCTTGTCAGAAAAGCTGCTCCAAAACTCGGGGACAACAGCCAGCGCCCAGCCTAACAAATTGTCAGTTGTCCATCATAATGAGACTTCGTATTTGGGGGGGGGGGGGGGGTACTACCTAGGGGGCACATCTCAACCATTCTTTGGTCATTGTCCTGGGGATAACCCCAATATTCAGGGTTTTCTGGATCAGTCCCTGACTTGATACCCTGAATCCACCATTCCTTGCCTTCGTAATCACCACCGCCTGCCAGTAAAGCAGCCAAGCCCCAGAGTGGACGGCATATTCCTTCAACTTCTGAAGCAGTCTGGTCGAATCTGACTGCCGTTGCACCGGGACACTTGACACGGGCTTTTTGGGGAGAGAAGAATGGCTCTAAAGGGTCAAGTACAGTGCGAAGGAGGTCTTGAACAGATGCACGATCCTTAATCTCAACCTTGGAAAAGGGATGTATCCCATTATATCCAAGACAAAGGGGTTGATTAGGTGCCATTGTGTTTTATCGAATGGTGTAGCTTGAAGTTAACTGCCAAGATTCATCGAGTGACAGAAATAGAGCAAAGGATAAAGAAGAGATATATATTGAAACTGAGCTCATGGCTTGTTTACCCTCAGCTCATGCCACGTACGGGCCACGGCACCAGGACCACGCACTTTATCCTCTGTCTTTTGCTTTTATCCGTCGATAGCGGGGACAAAGCTGTATGTACATGGCCGGGTTTCCGTGTTGATCAGTGAGGGGTTCGATGGCGCGTGGGATGATTGACCCCAAGAGTTTGGGGGTTCCGAGCTGGTATGACGATTGACTGCCGAAAACGGAGCTATATAAACTTAATCAAGTATCTCGGCAACGACCAGATTCCTTTAAGATAAAATGAAAAGAAAGAAAGAAAGAAATGAACAACAAACTTGATGGCAAATGGCTCCGGTGTAACTAACAGTCAAGGTCTTTGTCAGCTGCAGAGGACGGTTCGCAAAAGCGCAGGAGCTGCTGAGAGCAGCTTACCCTAGATCTCAACCATGTCGCATTGAAGCTTCTTCAAGGCCACCTTCAAGAGGCAACTTGAAGGTGTTTCAAATCAAATTCATATCGCAAGCTTTTTTCTTTTTCTTTTTCTTTCTTCTATTCTTTCAACCTCGATGCTCGCGGGCCTCTTGTGATTCTGCTACGTTCATCACCCAGCTGCAAATACAACGTCTTTTCTCCGGTATAGCCCTTTTTCACCTGCAACTGATCATCTTTGCCGTTTCACAACCATGACCGACAAACAAGAAGAAACTATAACTGTCAACATCGACGGAGGTGAATCAAATGAAGCACAAAAGAACGCACCGTCATCGTCTCCCCTCTCATCAGCACCTGACCACGAGGATCATGGTAGCCCGACCATGGCAGATCAGCCGCCGGATTCGCCTTCGACTTCGCTCAATGGTCGAGAAGATACCCCAGCGACGACCTCTAAGAAGATGGCCAAAGGCAAGCGGAGGGTCCTTGTGAAAAAAGTACCGAAAAAGTCGAAGTGGAACGCAGATAACCTTCTGACGGATCCTAAATCACCCCTAGCTTCAGCTGATCTCAGAGTAAGGCGCTCCGTCTTTTGTAAGTTAGTAAGATCGCTAACGAAAGCAGAGCATACTGTCGAATCCGATGGCCTGGGATATTCTTGACAAAGAAGAGAAGGCAGAAATCCTGGCACTGTTCCCTGATTCCCAGCACATTCTAAATCCTGGCACAGAGGATGCCTGTCCTGATTTTGCGTCACTCATGAACGACGACAGTTTCCGTCACGATTGTGCTGCGTACACAGAAAACATCGCCCAAGGCCGGCATGATCCCGAATGGCTAGCGCATGCTTGGGCAGCTCATGAGAGACGCAAGATGGGCGATTTCGACGAATTTCTGGACAACAGGTTCAGAGATGAATGGGATGTCGAGCTACCACCAGAGCTCAAGACAAAGCGAGGACCTGCCGTGTCAAAGGAGGCAACCGACGTCACAATGGAGGACACTGAGACAGTCAAGAATGAAACGGACAAGAAGGAGGACATCGATATGAAGAACAGCACTTCGGAGAAGAAAGACAATCTCGACATTGACTCCGAGGTTGACGAACTTCAAAGATGTGAACCGGCGCACGAGGGACCTATAGCTGTGGCCATTGCACAGCGAAAAAGCTCCATGATGGAGGTTGATGGTGACGATACAAGGGATGAGCTTGCTTGAGGATAGAATCTGCGGGTAAAGAGCGAAGCAATGAAGTTGGGGCGTTATTATTAATCCACAATAGAACTCCGCCGCAATTTTGACACGGGAAGTTTGCTTATATTTTGACTTCATTATCATGGCTTGCTTGAGTTACCTAAAGACTAATTATAAAGGGTGTTTGCGTATTTGGCTCTCCTGAGGTGGGACCTGGCGTCACAGTACGCAGTACAGTCCTAAAGACCTAAGATGCACTGTAACTTTCCACATGATAAACTGCATTATAATCTCTCTACACTCTCTTTCTACATGAACCAACCGTTCTTCTCACTTGACCTATGTTGAGCACTCGGAATTAGAGAGCACTTGCTGCATGCAAGTTCAGTTTCTACACTTGAACATGGTGTATCCGTGAAATGAGGTCATGAAATGGTAGTCCTTCCAAGCAAGTCACGAAAGCGGGAGATGGACTAGGGGAAAGAATGTTCAGGATCTGATCTTGGTCCTAAGTGACAAAAAGACTAAGTAACTTGGCATAGATTTCGGATAAGCTTATTATACCTTTTGCAGAGTTTATATTGACACCTTATAATAAGGTCTGATGTTTTCTGGCTTCCTGAGGATACCTTAGACGGATGACCCACTGAATTTTACCAACACCCACCGCAAACAAGATCCAGGCGCTGATTGGAATATTTCATCTTCCCAGCCTTAAAAAAGATATATTCGCCCGTTTTATGAGAACGAGCAAGCTGACCGTATTATTTACCGTGACCACAAACCATCAATTAGCGCTTATACAGGCTTCAGGCGTGCCCTAACATACACATACGATGGCACCAGCCTCGAATATCCATGCCCGATCGCACAGTCTGCTGCTCTTACAGAAACTCCTCAACCTTCGTGACGGCGCAAGCCCTCTTACTCTCGTGATAGACAATCTCGAACAACCTGCGCGATCAGTTCTTAGCGAATTTGTGTCGAGAGCAAAGGTATTAAACGTCCCCTAAAACATGAGAGCCAGTATGACTAACTTGGAAAATGCAGATTGCAAAGACACAGGTTATCTTCCTGTCGCTGGTAACGCTGAAGAAACCACAAGATGCAGATGTTTTCATAAAAGCTGCGGGCAGAGATCTTCAGACTGTGCGCAAAGACTTGCTGAATCATTATCCTGCTTTCAACCCTCTTTTGGATAAGGGGAAGCTCACTCAAAGTAAGCCTAGTAGAGTCATGATCACAGGTCATATCTTTACTAACTATCTTAAGGGGCCGTTGTGATTGTTGACTCACTAAACGCCTTGGCATCTGCCGCTCCTCAGTCCCTGGCAAGTTTTCTCTCGAGCATCATCACGCCAGCTGTCTCTATCGTTGCCACGTACCATGATGATGTACCTATAGTACTACCAAGGTCGTTCAGCGAGTATGAACCTCATCCTTTCACAGTACTATGCCACCTCGCTACTGCTATCCTGAGGCTATCCAGTCTTTACCAAGAGATTGAGCGTCAGAAGGCTCGAAACAGGAGCATTCAGGAGCCAGAGTGGGGTCTGAACGAAGATCGTGAGGGAGTACTCGTCGGACTTGGAGAGAAGGGCAGAGACCGGAACGAGGACAGCAATGGAGTTGTTATTAATATGGAACTACGACGAAGAAGTGGACGAACTATTTCAGAAAAGTTTATTCTCAGCTCCAAGGGTTTGGTTACAGCGCTTCAACCCGGCAAGGTGTGTTTGCTTACAGACCACCCAATGTTCGCAGCACCAACGGACAGCAGAGAGACTGGTGAAGGAGAGGATGAACCTGAGAGCACATTCAATCTGGGGCTCACAGAGAAGCAACGAAAGGATCGAGAGGGTATTGTGTTGCCATATTTTGATGCGCAAACGGACATTGGTGCAGGAGAAGGCGGAAGAATTCTTTACGAAATGGGCAGAGAGGATGACTTTGACGATGAAGAGGATGAGATATAGAGATGAGAAACGACTTCTATCATACAGAATTGATGCATCATGACCTTTGACCTTTGCTGTTGTAGAGTTATGATGATTTGACTTTGGAGTTTACAGGCTCCTAAATGACCTTCGTTATAGAACCCCTCAATTACAGACTGATAGCTGGGGTGTTTGGCACAGCGAGTAAGAATAGAGCTTCTTTGCAAGAAGGCTCTAAAACAAGTATTTCTTGATGAGCCAAAAGAATATTTGAATGCGAAATTCATCACAAATTACCATCTTGAACTGGAATGACAAGTCGGTTCGTTATCTTATCAGCACAGAGCTCCCTCTGCCATGCGCCGGCTCCACTGACCATCGATCGTATACATACAGATCCTCCAAAAGCCAAAACGACCAAACACTAATATTGCAAGTCAGAAACTGAGAGAATCTCCGATAAAACCCTCCCTCAAATCGATCGTCGAAACAGAATTTGGCCATACTTGGCGTGGCTCAGTCTCGTGCCCCTTCGACGTCATCCCTCTATCGCCTGTCTTTCTTGACACGTAGTGGTAGCTGAAAGTCTTCAAGCCAAAGAAACAAACCACTTCTACGGAGTAGACCGGCGCACCTTTCCCCTGCTACCCAGCACTCTACCCACGAACCACTACAATGATCTACTCTACGCAAATATCAAGGCTTGATGGTAGGTCAATATCCTCTGTAACACCATAAATGTATATACTAACACACTGCTAGGCCTCATGCTCTGTGCTTCAGTCGATGATGAACAGGTACTCCCACAACTCAGCTTTACCGCATTTCATGCTTACGAACCCTCTGAACAGGCCGAGTCCACCCTCGCAGAGACCAAGCAGAACGTGCGCCAGGTCCTCCGCAAGCTCACACGCAACTCCGAGTCCCAGGCCTCCATCGAGACCCCCAACCATACGCTGCACTACCTCATCGACTCGGACATCGTCTTCCTCGCCATCTGCGCTCCCTCGTACCCTCGAAAGCTTGCCTTTACCTATCTAGCCGATCTCGCACGCGAGTTCACAACCACCTACCCAGCATCCCAGGTCCACTCGCCTGCTCTGCGACCCTACGCCTTCATGGAGTTTGACACCTTTATCTCCAAGACAAAGACCACCTACGCCGATTCCCGAGCCTCGGCTAACCTCGATAAACTTAATGATGAGCTGCGCGATGTGACAAAGGTAATGACCAAGAACATTGAGGATTTGCTCTACCGTGGAGATAGTCTGGAGCGCATGGGAGAGATCAGCTCGAGGCTGCGTGATGACAGCAAAAAGTATCGTAGGGCGGCGGTGCGTATCAACTGGGAACTTTTGCTCAAGCAGTACGGACCCTTCGCGGCTCTTGGGTTCATCATCATCTTTTTCCTGTATTGGCGGTTCTTTTAAGAAATGCAAGCGAGCTGTTTCTGTTTATACATCTAATAACTAAATCTGGCCACTTGTACTTTACTCTGGGAGTGTGCAATTTGAGAGCTACGATTCAACATTTCAGGGGTATTTGAGGCCCAAGCTGTGCCCTTGTAACAGGAGGGGGCGCTGCTGGGTTGTGTACTTACTTATATGATCATTTATGAATAAGTTAATTCGCCTATCTATGCTGGCTTTGGCAATTCTTGCTAAATCATAACCTCAATGCTGCTCCTAAACCATGCTGCCTCACCTAGGTCATACCGTATGATACTCCAAACTCCATGTGCCATCTGCTCTACCCAAAATCATCAAGGAAAACACCACATTTTTGTTAAGAAGCCTCAAAATCGACCGCTTACTCTCAACTACATCACCATGCAATTATCTGAAGCCGCCTGTGCCTGAGAGGTTGGCGCCGTCACTGTATGCTGCCATTCAAGATGTTCCAGAAACGCCTCCATGTCTTCGTACCCCAAATCTGGTCGATATACATCCTCGTCATCATACTGCTCTTGAGGTTCTGTTGATTCCACCTCGCAATATGGACACAGTAAGCCGGCCTGCCAATCCCGAGGCTGTGGCGACACATGATTTGCGATGGCTACGGGCGCGAAGACAACCTGCTTCTCTTGATGTCCAGACAATGTGAACGCTGTTGCTTGCCAGTGAGGGTTATCGATTGTTGGTGATAGTGTCAATATTGGAGACGCGGCGGCTTCTTGGAACGTCCGTATCGAGGGCATATTCTCAATATCCTCCCATACTATGTGACCATCGCAATAGTCGCAAACGAAAGCGATATCTCGATCGCCAAATCGCTTGAACGACCCAATAGTATTGCATAAGCGTAGCTCCTCCCGATACCTTCTCGAATACTCGGCCTCGTCTGGCACGGTCTTATTTAACGTCCATTGTCGTTGTTGTCGGTAGACGAGGAAAGCTCCCAAACACCTTGCCGACCCTTCTTTTTCCGAGCTATAAATTCGACGTGCTGCTCGACATTGTGCTCTGTGTAATTTTCGCTGTAAGGCATGTGTTTCGCGGACCCATATTGGGTTGATTGGACCGCCTGACCGGCTCCAATCTCGTATATGTTCTATATGAGCTGTAAATTGAGCTTTGAGAGCTCTCAACTCCTCGATGGATTCATCTGGCCAACAAGTCAGTAAACAGATTCATTACTCAACTGTAGAAGCCCGAAGCCAACGGGAATGCCTGCATCGGAGAATACGTACGTTTGCGGTCGGTCTCGTAGTATATCTGTCCATTAACTAAAGGTGCCAATTCTTGAAAGTCCTTCTTGGCTTCGTCCAACGCAGAAGCAAAGGCGTGTACTTGCTCGTGCTCGTCCGGTCCCCAATGGCTCTTGTCGGCCAAACTGAGGATTCGCAATCCCTGGGATAAAAGAGTCGCAATGGCCGCAAGCAATGACCCGACCGAGTCAGAGCTGCTCATGATTCGGTGTCGAGGATAAGGTTTGCGATTCCTCCCAAGTATTGACAGGGCGCGGGGTTGAGTCGAGGGAGGATAACGTAAGCCCAAAGTCTCGTGGAAGGGTATAATCCGTAGTAGAAAAAGCAATGGATTCGAAGTAGTAGAGAGATGTCAATCACCGGCGTCGTCGCAGGGCGAGGGACTGATGCGATTGGGGGCGGCGCATGAGGTTTCGTCGGCTCGAACCGGACTCCCCCGGCTCGAGAGAACGGGAGGTTATTGAAGGAAGCTTGACGTGACGATAGAGGTGACAAGAGCTCCAAGGTAGGGCGCACAGGACGGGAGCGTTCGGCTGTGCTATTTATTTACTTGGTTGTATTCATGTAACCAAGCAACCGAAAGCACCTAAGAGGCTGAGCAATTGGTAGGTACGTAATGTTCGTAGCACTTCTGTTCAGGGTCCTTTCCGTTATTGTCAAAGTGACCCTCGTGAAGATGAGGCTGTGCAGGCAAAAAATACTGGGGGTTCCAAGGAATGATTCTTCAGACCGTCTATTGAAGAGTTTCAGGGGATGTAGAAGGAGGGAAATATGGTTAAAAAGAGAGTTGTCTTAGCTGCTTAGGTACGACTACGTAAAGGTAGGTGGGTTATGTACGAATCGTGGACACTTGAGGTGCGTACTGGGCACTGGACCCCCCAAGTCTGAAACAGCCAGCTTCCATTGATACACACGCTGAATCAAAAAGCTGAGGTGAGCTCCTCCGCAAAATGACGGAATAAGGAACAGCACTGAAGTCCCCTGTAACTCACCCGCTATGACGCCCGTTAGTGGGTCATAAATTGCAACGCCCTGTCGGGTGTCCCGAACCTAGAGACCGGCTATTCCTCTGTCCTATCGTCCAAATCGATCATTCGTAGCTTCGTATATTCGTAGGGCTACGAATCAGACGACATACACCAAGCCAGTCCATCAATCAACTCGAGCCAAGGAAAGCTTATCAATGAACTGTCAAAGATTGTGCCATGGGCGAACGCAATGACAATGACTCACCTCATATGAATCATATTGTTTCACTACACGAGTCCTGAAAGATCATTCGTTGCATACCTAGATGGTATTGATTCCTATGTATCTGATATTCAACTAAAAATGGCCGACTAGAACTACAACATAGATATCAAAGTTATGACTGCGAAGCAAACCCGACAGTCTAAACCCAAGGGCCTTTCCTCGGCTCTTATTGCCGTCTGCAACTCACTTCCGCTTCTTGGCCTTACCAGTATCCGCGCTACTTGTCTTGGCTTCGGCCTTGACATCCTCAACCAGTTTGTCCTTGGCCTTTTCCTTGGCCTCTTTGTCGTCAACAGCCTCGTCCTCACCACCCTGGCCAAACTCGTTGACACGGCTGTAATCGATGCGGTAAGCCCATCGTTGGTAAAGATACACGAAGAAGATAACATCGTCGCGAAGAGTGGCCAAACGGTGCAAGAAAGGCATCTTGATGGTAAAAGCAAACAGATCGTCGATGAAGGTGTTGAGGAACTTGTACATCATAGCCTTGGCAGGCATATGGGCGACACTCTTCAGTCGGTAGTTGATGTACAGCGAGGGAACCATCATCAAGAAACCGTAAGCGTAGACAGATCCCACCAAAGTAGTAATGATGTATGAGTACCACGACTTGTGGGAATCGTAGTAGAGAGAGTAAATGCCATATGCGATCAGCAGAGGAATGCCAGCAATGTACATGTACTTGAAAGCAATCTCATCGTACTCCTTGGTCTTCTCTTCAGTCTCAGTCAACTTTTGCTTATCCTCGAATGCGATAGTGTAAGGGAGGAAAGATCCTGGGCCGCCAGGACGAATGCGAACGTTGACAACAGTGGTGATCTTCCAGAACTCAATGACTATGCCAACGACCTGAGATCCCAGGATCATCCAGCTAGTGTTCTGAGAGTTGTCGAGGAGGTACAGGAAGATGACAGTTTGCATGAAAACATTAGCCAGGATCGAACGGACTGAAATACCGACGTTGTCCTTCTTCTTGCGGTAGTGGGCAATATCGGACCCGAACGCGAGAGTCTCGAGAATCATGTGCAAGATACTGACTACAATGGTAACACCGAGCAAGATTGGGTTGGAGTCGAGGAACACCTCCTTGATCATCTCGATCTCGGTGCCGTCACCGCCACCAGGAAGCGAACCACCAAATGCTGCCTGTCGAGCAGACTCCTTGGAGTTGGTCTCAAGTGTAGACATGAGCTGGAACTGCCAGCTGGCCAAGTTACCGAGATCAATACGAAGGGGAAGTTCCTTGACGGTGTCGTTGAGGAGGGTCATCTGGCTTGTCAATTGCCAAAAAGTGTTGACGAACAGAACAGGGTCTATCAATGTTAGTTACCATGTCGTTGGCATATAAGTTGTTTCTACCTACAGTACCAGGCGTGCTGACCAGAGCCATCTCGAGCACCAGTAGCCTCAAGGCGCAAGTATTGTCGCATCTGAGGAGCCATCGTGGCGAAATCCCTGACACCCAGATCGGGAACGAAGGACAAGCTTGCATTAGGATGATAGTAGTTCGCAATGATAGGTCCAGTGGGCTCCTCCTCTTCGGGCTCCTCCTCATGTTTGGGGATATCCTCGAGCAAGTTTCGAGTCTTGGCAACCTTCTTCTTGGGAAGGTATTGTGTAAGAGGCCAGGTGAAGTAGTAGGCTTTGGAAGTATCATATCCGGGCTGCTTAGGATCGAGATTACTTCCAGGAAGGCCAATGTAGAAATGACCCCAGAGGGTACCATTATGCTGGACAGCTGGAGGAACCGTGAACTTCGTCTCAATCGTTCGCTTATCGGACTTATTGCTAAGATGGAACTCCTTCTCTTGCAGTACAAGATATTCGTCGGGAACTTGCGAGATAGGGGCTGGGTTGAACGACTGGGAGAGCGTTACGATGATATCGACGTGGCTATCTTGAGGCCAGATGGGCGCAATGTTCTTTGGGATATTACGGTATGTCGCGCCCTCGTTGAGCTCCTTCGGGCGAAGCTGGAAAGGAGGAACACCCTCGACATTCCCAGGGACTGTAACGGCTTCACCAGTTTCGGGATTGGTGACTGTAACTCCTCGTTGGTCCTTTTTCAAGGCCAAGTTGAGGGCCGCATTGATGCCAAAGTAGATGGCGCCGCCGAGGAGAAGCTTGTTGAAGCTGAAACCCTGGATAGAATCGGTATTAGTGTATGGTTACGATGCAAAGTTTACTTTGCGATGACTTACACTACCGCCGCCGCCACCTTGCTGCTGCTCGCCTTGACGGGGAGGCAAGACTTGAGCTTCAGCCATTGCGTCTGCTTCGATTCAATCGCAGAGAATGACAGACGTTGTGCAATGGGTTGAAGAAGACCTGCAGGATCCTACCTTGATACTAGAGTCAAGGTTGGTTGTTGATGCACCTGAGGCGATGTGTTTGGTTGGTCAGAGTTCTGAGACTAAGGATGGAAATTGGAAATCCCCTCGCACGTCCGCTTCTCAGGCTCCATGACAG